ATAATGTAATGCTAAGCCTAAGACTAATCTCACACAGCGAATGCTAAGACGGCGTCAAGCATCCGATGATATATGGTGTAACATATGCGATCCTGATTATTGTAATGTATATCGCTTCGTTGCAATTACCCAGTGTTACAGCATTTCGCTCGAGACAACTCGCTTGTTGAATTAATCAGTACTTTCATCCAATCTTAACAGAACCAATGGTATATGCAGGTTGGGAATTAGTTTTTTTGTTAGAAATCATTGGTCTCGTTATATTGACATAATAGCTTTTAAACTACACGATTCAAGTTAGAACTCAACCATAACTTGATTTAAGTTGTAGCTTATGGTTATTGTATAAACATTTATGCTGTATTGCAACAAAAGTCTTCCCTATAGTAGAATAGATGTTATAATAAACCAGATTTACACTATTAAAATTTCTGTATTTTAATTTATATAATTCTTTTACAACTGAGCTATAAATAGGCCTAAGGCATAGGGCCTTAACAACGGGCATATGTTGAAAAGCTTAATTTAAAAAAATATGGTGTTTGTATTATACACCATTTTACTAGATGGAAAAGAATGTGAGCAAGGTATACACACCCTCTAATTTAATTTCACTACAGCTCTTCACGGGCGATTAAATGAACCTCTTATCAGCGAGATAAGAGCGGCGTTACTATCACACACGTTAATAACACCAAGGCTCACGAAATGATCCGGCTTGCGGGACCAGCTTAATTAATTTCTGTAATGAACCGTGGCAGCTTATAATAAGGGCAATTTCCCCATTAACTTTTTCTATAAACAAAATATGGATAGCGAGTGAAACGAAATATTGTACAAAAGCACTGTATTTTTTGAGTAAGCCATTAAATAAGCCCCATAGACATATTCTTAACTAAAAGCACAGATGTGTTGTCACCCCTGAGGATTATGTTTGATTAATTCGGTCAATATATTGGGCTCCTATACCAAAAAACAGTTTGTGATGTTGTAGTTATCGTCCAAATTTTTCAAAAACTGGATTATATTCTTTGTGATTAAATACAGGTGAATGTGACTAGACTATCTATTACGTGCAGTTTTTAAACTACATTATTCTATGATTAAAATGTTCTCGACTGTACCAATTAATTTAGTTTTAGCTTTTCTACTAATTAAAATGGGCATATAAAACATTTAATTTCAAATAAAGTAATAAAGTTGCATTTGAACAAATACGATGATGATACACACATCAGCGATTGCGCGTTGATCGAATTGAAACTAGAATCAATGTGAGATTTAGGAATTTTATTGCAACAATCTGTGCTCTCTGATATTTTCACCACGAACTATTATATGTTGGACATTGATTGAACGAACGAAACTATTAATGTCTTGTATTATTTATGTAGAAGTGTACTTATGTAGATATATTTGAATTAAGCACTTTCTGTTAACAGAGATGTAACTAACAGCAATTCTCATCGTTCTCTGTGGATCCAACATACTTGAAAATTCTAGAAAGCGCGTTTCGTCTGGTGAGTGAGGTAGCCGGAGCCCAATTTTCAAAAAGTTGTCAACGCTTCTGTAACCCTCGGGTGTAGCAGACAGACGTCTATGGGTGGCGGTATTCACTTAACATCAAGTGAACCGTCTGCTCGTTTGGCAACTTTTCACATAAAAAAAAACATAAAAGTTTACATTAACCTTCGAAAATAACTTTCTGCTATAAAATTGATTAGGTGAATATTACTAGAAAATGCTGCGTTCGAGGCACGCAATTAGTGTAAACGAGTGTTTATCTAGAGTAGCAGATTACCGACGGAGCGTGCCGCCGCCGCTGATCGTAGCGTTACCAATAGATACACCGATAATTCTAATCTAGAGCAATATTAATTATTAATCTTATTATATATATTGTTGAAACGAAACAAGAAGTGATGTAACGAATAAATCACATATCTATACTTTAATATCTTTTTCTTTAAAACACATTGTTTGCTCCAAAACTGCTGAATTATTTTATACATTTTAACTTTAAAATGTAATTTCTTTCTTGGCTGCAAGTTAAGCATATGTGATGTATAAAACCTAAAGGGCTGTGGATTTTGTTGCTTAATAAAATAAAAATAAAATAAATTTCCGGAAGTTACTTTGTAAATTGCTAAACTAAGAGTTTTAACCATACTTTACAACATTAAAAGATTAAAAGAGCACAAGAATATCTGCAGATTACGTCTTAATCAAGCCTCTCATTCGAATGTAGTAGAAGACATTTTGCTCTACACATAAATATGTATTACAAGTAAGTGTATACAAGAATTTTATGGAGTGGTCAGATATTAGTTTACTACTGGAGAATAATATGATGAAGCAATGCTTTTACTAATCTACATTACAGAACCCAGAACATATTATAGTAATCAAACGTTTCATTTATTTTATTTCCAATGACTTAGTACTTGTGATGAATGTTTTTTCATTTGTTTTTTGTTTAATAACCTTACAGAAAATACGACACGCTAAGAAGGAGATTTTTATCCCGACTAAATTAGTTTTGTTGTTTATTAGTGGTGAAACTATAACTGTGCCTTGGGAATGCGAGTTAAACAGAAATTTAATTACACCCATAATTAATGTTATAGGACCACTATGATAGGAGTTTCTCCCTCTGTAACAATGCGCAGTTACATCCATGAAGTACCATAGTCTCGCACGCAACAACTTTGGCTGAACCTCGACCACACAGAAGACCGGCGTGAAGTGAAAGTTTCATACTTCTGCGTTTCGTCTGGTGAGTGAGCCGCAGCCACTTTATTATAAGGTGCAACGCATCTGCAACCCTACGAGTGTTGCAAATGTCAATGGGCAGCGGTTATCACTTAACATCGGGTGAACTGCTAGCTCACTTGCAACCTTCGCGCATAAAAAAGATCTAAATAGAAAATAAATGTATTAGTATTTTTGCCTTCTGCATGGTGAGTAAAGTATTCGAGGCTTAAACATCAGGTGAACCGCCAGCCCACTTGCCACCTTCTTGCAGAAAAAATAATCTAATTAGATAGAAAAGTATTTGTACATTTGACTTCTGCGTGGTGAGTAAATTATTCAAGGCTTACTCTAAAAACGTTTGGCAATAGAACAGAAACTCCAAGGGTATTGTAAACATTAGGTGAACCTCCTGATCGCTTGCCCACTTTCGCATGTTATTTTATGAAAGAACCATGCAATAAGTAAACAAGAAATAAGAAAATAGCATTGTAAAACACAGCAAAGTACCTTATGTGTTTTTTACATGTTATATTACCAATTATGTCACCGGAAATATGTTCGGGAATAATATTAGATTGTATGTTACATTAAAACGCACGTTTCACGTGTATTTATACTAATAAAAGGGACTCGAAGAGAGTTTAAATTCTCCTTGATTTTATATGAAATTATTATTTTTTTTTTTTATTTTTGAATACTTATAAAACAACCAAATATTACTAACTACCCATGTTTTCATTTCAACTACTAATTAATTACTTCAGAAACGGACAAAAAAAATTAAAAGCGGAAGCAAATTTAGAAGCAGATTGACTTTATTGTGTCTCAAAATTTAATAATAGCCTTGAAGGCTTTTAAATAGTATAAAATACTTGAAAAAAGTCTTACTAAACTATAAATACACAAGATATAAACGCTAATCAAATTTAAATTTTCCCAAGTCTTTCAGTTGCAATGCAGACATATGAAAAATAAATTATCTTTATTTAATTCTATCTTTAGCCCTATAACTAGGCAAAAATTTTATCAGATTTTCTTCTTTCTTTATTCTACTAGTATTAGATAAACCAATAACACTTTAAAATAAAAACAACTTATTTATTTATCTCACCGTCCATGATGGCGTCACAATTGTGATATCGTATGAATCTGTTTTAGATTTATTTCACACTAGCGACCCGCCCCGATTTCGCACAGGTGCAATGTATTATACATATAAACCTTCCTCTTGAATCACTCTATCTAGTAAAAAAAAACCACATCAAGATCCGTTGCGTAGTTTTAATGATCTAAACATACATAGGGACAGACAGACAGCGGAACAACTTTGTTTCATACTATGTAGTGATAGTTCAGGTAACTTTAAAAGCGTAATGATATCGCATTTACTCCAATATGATTTCCGTATCACCTGACTCATAACTATAATATTTATGGCAAGGATATTGAAATGCTTATTGACACGAGGCAAAGCTACAGGAAACTGTAATAACAATCCAATACATTGTTAAACACAGTGCAAAGTTGTACTTGAATAGACGATTGAGGTTGTGCGAGTACCATAACCCACAATAAACGGCTTTAACGCGACCCGTCGGTACTTTAGCCAGACGCGGAAATAGCTCCGACGGGCGGCTCTACATGAGTTGCTCGTACAGCTTTATTAAATATGATTTGTATTCATTGGATAAGGTAACGTCCTCCTAATGAATTTAATATAGTTTCTAAATAATATTTTATTAAGTAAAGGACTTTATTTAACACCACAAATGAGTGCGCCAGGAAATTATTTTACAACTTTTAGTACTTAAATTTTGGAACTTATAAAATAATTGGCCTCTCATTACAGGCATATAAGCGGAAACGTTAAGAACGTATAAACTACCTGATTTTTGTTGTTCTAGTTATATAAAATATTATAGCTAAGATTGAAGCTTGAAGGACAGAAATACTTTTGTTCTATCATAAAAAAATTGCCAAAGCTCGCTTGGAGCCCACATAGATATCTTGGACTGATTTTAAAAATTTAAAACTTTAAAGATAGTAATAATTTTATTCTTCCAAATTAATTGAAAAAATGTGGACTTTCGTTATGTTATTATATTCGTTATGTTCTTTATATTCAATTAATTGTACACGCCACGCTAAAGAAGTCTTTAAACATACAACTAAACTAAGATGTGCGTTGATGTCTTTTACATGATCCTTAAGCTAAAAGTAAGTTACATACTATACCAGTTAAATTACTCACTTGACTGCAGCCGGTCCCTCCACGCCATGGGATTGGACACCAATCCCTGGAACCCTGGCCAGTATAGGGGCTTGTGCTGCAGGTAGTGCGCCATGCCAGCCGCCGCCGCCGCGAGGGACAGTCGCGGAGTCAACAAACCAGCACCAACGTTGGAGCCAACCGTGGGCCTTGACAGTATGTGGTCGATCCCGTGAGGATTGGGGGCCGGCGGCGGAGCCTCCGCCAGAGAGCTCAACGCGGCCAAAGGAGCCCCGAAACCACCGTCAAGAGAGCCTCTCGATAGAGGAGGGGAACCGCGCAGTTCGGACATGCTTGGTCAAACGAATGTTCACCGCATCAAACACTCAACCGAGTCCCGTAAGCTAATGCATGTTATGATCGAAACACGCTATCACAGAAGCATCGCGGCGCTCGCCGGCTGCGACTAGGGAGCACCACTCGCGCGCCCGTTCCGATACCAAATGAAAAGCTCACCAGCCGGACGCAAACAGAAGAAAAAACCTGTATAGAGACCGCCCAGTCAATCTAAACCCTATATCTGAGACGCCGCCCCCCGCTCGGAGAGCGCTCCCGAACTCTATCCGTCTCTGTCGTGCACATACAGATACGAGCGAGATGGTAGAGTCGTCGTGTTAACACGATAGCGTAGATTTAACGAATCGCTATTTAATAGCGCTTCTTGTCTCTTTATAATTAAGTCTGGTGCAGTTTTTGCGATCCCCCCCCCCCCCCCCCCCCCCCCCCCCCCCTCTACTCTCCGTCTCTGCGCCGCCTGCACTCCGCGCGACCTATTGTGTCCGGAATAATAAGTCGCACCGTGAATAGGACGGTTTATTCCGTGTATCCGGAGTCCGGATCATTTGTCGTTAGATAATTTATGTGACAAATATTGTATTAATTGAGAGCACTCGATCCTGACGGAAATAAAACACCCATGGCATTACAGGGCTCGCTCTACATCTGCTGGGGTCGTGAAAACATCGGACTATTAGGTTTTATGGTTTTTAGCTCCTTTGCACTTAATAATCACAAGCAGTAAAATAGATTTAATACATAAATCAGTACAGAAATTTAAGAAAAAACTAAATTTTATATTATAGTATGTTAAATGTTAAATTATTAAATGTTTTCATATTGAAATTAAGTTTAAATGGTTATGGTTAAAATACACGCTTTAGTCCAATCGGAGGCATAACAGAATATAAAATATATATTTTTATATTATGTCAGTATACCATTTTTTACCTTAAATTTTTAATATTATAGTTCTTACAATTTATTTTAAGTTGCATTAACACGATCAATTATTTAATAACTCTCAGTTATTATTTAACATATCCCATTAAAAATTAAGATCACGTCCGGTTCAATTTAAAGAATACAATGAGTTGAAAAAAGCTCGCAGGCAATTTATACCACAACATTGAAGTCAATTTTATAAGCCCTTTTTAATCCCTAATGGCGGGTATTAACCGAAATTAAAAACCTCTTCCCCTAATAAATATGGCGGCACCATAAATAAATATAACAATAAACGACTCAGGATGTAAAAAATGTATGTGAGATTAAAAAAAAACCAACCCTTATGAGTTCTAAAGCTTTCACAATGCAGATTGCACATAATGATATACATTTTTGCGTTAGATTCTTTTATACTCTAAACTTTTCTATACGTTAAAACCCCATGGATTCTGCTTATATTTGTCATTGCTACAGTAATTTCATAAATTTTTATAATTTTTGTCGAATTAATTTAATATTTATTATCGCTGTAATGCAACTCTTACAATTAGAGTACTAACAGAATTCTCAAGGAATTTTTTACGAAATAAATTTTTGTTTATTTACATGTTTCCTACAAAGCAGTATAATTTGTTAAAAAAAACTAGATATGACAAAAAATGCATTCGGCGTTCTTTTAAAAAAATCTGATGGTTATAAATAACACACTTTGCATTTTAATTGTATACGTTAAATAATTTCGTTGTCATTATGGTGTAAAAGTAATATGGTGTAAAAATTCTAACAGTGTATACATGTTATTTTACATTTTTTTACACCATATTTAATTATATTCTATACTTTCGTTTAAGGAAATTTATAAGATCAAACATAACACCAACATTGAATAAAAATATTTCAAATATCTTCCATACATGAAAACAACTGTTTAATCTTCTCGTTAAACAAATCAGCAAATCAATAAAAAAATCATCACTACCCTTGTCTCAATGTCGACAGACACGTTGTGTCTTCACGAAAAGCCACTTTAAGCTCGCAGATCAGTAAAACCGGTTTCGAACCCAGAAAACGAGACCTCTTTTTGTGATATCGCTCATATTTTGATAGAGATCTGATTAATTGTATCAACAGGGCGGCGGGACATCACAGGGGTCGGAGCATTGTGTCGGTGGACCGGATGTCGTGTTGTGTCCGCGCACGCTAGCTCGCTGGCCCTCGGGGCCACACTGTCAGCGGTTTCGCTTACGATGGTGCAATGAAAATCACATTACTGTAAACAAGACTTGAACTAGGAATCGACGTCCCTAATTATTATGTTCTTTATTAGAATGCCGATAACAAAGCTATAAAAACCATCAGCATTGATTCAAATGCTAAAATACAATGTAGATGAAGCTTAGTAGCTAGAGCGTCAGGGTGCTATAATACTATAAAAACCACTTCACGAAATAAACTATTTTTGATAATATCACTCCTAATTATTAATTTTTACAGAGCATATTTAATTCCAAACATCATGTATTGAATGTATTGGAGTTAGAATTTCTCACGTAGACTCTCACTGACCCTTTAGCCAGATACCTCCCGAGTGAGTTTAAATAACAAAAAATTCATTATTCATTTTCAGAAATATATAGATATATTTTATTCTTCTCTATGCATCCTATTTAGGAATAGCGTAAGAAAAAATATTTATAAAACATAGATATCTCTCTACTATATAAGACTTATACAAATAATATGTAATTCCCTGAAACTTTGTTATGTCAATAAAGAGTCCGTTACTCTCACATACTGTGAAGTGTTACTGCTTATAATATCGCAGGGTGTGTGGCCACACGTCCTCTTTGCCGCCTTGGCCATTCATCCCGCCGTCAATTAAAGCCACACCTTTGCCCGGGTTCCATCGTCACTCCATTATACTCTGTGGACTCTCCTGCAACCGTGTACAGTGGTCAACGGTTTTGTTAGGTCTTTAGTTAGGGGCGACAGATACGAGATCTAAAAGGCACCCAGGCTTCCTATGTTTCAGTTTTTCTTAGCTTATTCAACGAAACTCGAATAAAAATTAATGTATCTATGTAATTTTATACCTGCAAGTAAAATTTAATCAAAACGTATTATGTTATCATTAAGATTTTGATTTAGCGTGGATATTTTTGCAGATTCTCTGGCCTCAACAAAAATAAAATTATAATTGTTTTATTTATGTCATTGTATGTGAAAGTTTTTTTGCAACCCTAGTTACAGGTTAATTTGTTTTATTTCTTTTTCGCAGCTTATAAGAGCTTGTGTAAAGGTGGTAAACACAAGTTCACTTGTGTTTTGTTTCATTGTAAGGTTGTATTCAGTTTTGTAGAGCTAATAAATAAAAAAAAAAAATTTCATACGTGCAAGACGTTTATGTCGACATGTGCTATCTTATAATCAAAGATGAAAATTCACTTCAACGTTAAACCTAACATTATTTATACAACACCTTACATAGCATGATGCACAAAATCAATATTTTCATTTACTCTAGCGACTTTCACCGTTTTATTATAAAGAATTAATATCGCACTGTTACTTAACTAACGATTTATAACAAAATGGTTTCTGAAATGGCTTTATAAAGAGAACCAAAAAAGGCAAACACAAAAGTATACGTGGTAATAATAACACGTATTGTACGAGCATCGATACAAGAGCAGAATGTAATCTATTCACGATCTCCGAAATAATCTCACTTATACATTTAAATTGGCTAAGTTCAAATAAAAAGTCGATTCCACGCAATATTCGCGAAAGCTCAAAACTTAAAAACGACTACAAAAAAAATCAGATATGAAGAATCGACTACGGCTGCGAGTATGTGTGAAGGAGAGCACAGTATTTCAGATAAGGACAGGAAATGTTCGCGAGACTTCATTGGCCGATTTAAGTGAAAAGCGCCGCCCATCCCCCCCTGGAAGCTTCCACGTGTTTTTGTTGCGTTCAGACGGTTTTCAGATATGCAAGGACGAGAACGTGCCAATGGAAATACGAAACTTTTCCATTTACGTTAAAGAGATTTACCCAAATTTGAAATTTTTACATGAAAATACAATTATTAATTAAGAACTTTTTTGATATGGTAAATTTAGATTTGTATAAGTAGGAAGGAAATTTTCCGACACTTGATTAATCCAAATTTTCAAATTTAAATCATCGGTCATAACAATAACAATTTCTTAAACTTAATAAAAAATAACAATTTCTTTTTAAACTGTTAAAATCCTAGCCTTAAGATATACTGCAGTAGCCACTTGGTTTAGTTGTAAAAGGTTTATTTCCTATATTACCAGTTATTATTTTAACACGATAGACAAAAGATTAATTTACGATAACTCATAACAGTCTGATTTAGAACTGACTCTTTAGAAATATTGTTTAAAACTTTTGTTTGAAAGCTTTTCAAGTTGTTGTTGTTGTTTCCACTGTGGTAGTAATAAAGTGAGTTCCAGTTACCTCACTAGACGAAAACACTTCCACTTCACGCCGGTCTTCTATGACCTCGTAGAGAATAGTGCCACACCTCATCGAAGAGGTCTTCTAGTTGTGGTACTTTCCCGGACTTGTCTATTCGTGCAACAGCGAAGACTGTTGCGTGGCCCTGCCACAGTTACACCCTATCACTCAACATATCATGTAAACCGCCAGGTCTTTCGTAAGTTTCTCACAAAAAAAAAAGTTAACAATTTTTTTACCCGATTACCGACCGATAACATTTTTTTTTGCGGCGAAATATACCGTCATATTCGAATGATGTTTTTCATTCCCTGAAAACAGGAATAAAAGGACATTTTCTAAAAATGAAACCTAGCTAGATCGATTTTTCGCCCCCGAATCTACGCACATACTAAATTTCATGAAAATCGCTGGAGCCGTTTCTGAGATTCCGATTACATATATATATATATATATATATATATATATATATATATATATATATATATATATATATATATATATATATATATATATATATATATATATATATATATATACATATATATACAAGAATTGCTTGTTTAAAGGATAAAATTT